TAAATCGCTATTTCTTTACGATAAAAATTTGCTATTTTCATCTATATATTTTTATCTCGATCTAAAACATAAAACATATATACAAAGCTTATCGATTCTTATATTGTGAGCTTATTGATATTTATAATGTAATAGATTTTGTAAGAAAAATATGTATAACAAAAAAAATTATTATATAATATACGGTGTTTATACTACATATTACAAATTTTTAAAACTGCACAACGAGTCTCACATTTTCTTTTGCTTTTAATCTGTTTTAATTCATTGTAACATTATAAAGCATAATCTTTGTAAATCGCTTCTGAGCCCAAAACGCTCGTAGAAATATCTTTCGGGATCAAACGAAGATAAAAGAGGAAAGGTAAATAAAGGAGGCCTCATTTCATCGCAATTGACGGAACGACCGTGTTTATCCTTCCTTCGTATAAACCATGTTATATGTTAAATGTCGAACGTTTTGACATATTTTCCGGCATGCAGAAAGGTCGGCCGTGTGTTTCGTAGGAACGAAAAATGAATTATCTGGAAAATAGAGAAATCGCAGGTGTCCGAAAGAGGGCTTAATAAAATTGCGAGAGACGATCCGGGAGAGACGAGTCGGCCACGGGTCGCGGCTTCCTTTGATCCCTATTCACGTATATACCAGCGTTTCGAAAGCGAGATCTCATTATATTTCCCGCGGCTTGAAAACACGTACCTGACATATCCCGGCCGCGATGTTCCCGATTTCACGCTCGTGGCGCCGTACACATTAATCGTTTCTCGCCCACAAACTTTTCCCCGCATACGGCGGGAACGAGCGCGACCGAATATTTTCCGCTTAAGAATGACTGGTGACTCTGCAAAATCATGCTCAAAATTTTTCATTTTTTTATTTTTGAAGAGATCCTTTTGGAAAGTGAGTCTTTTCTTAAGATAATTAAAAAGAACTGTGAATATTGCTGAAACAAGCAAACAAATTTAGTTTTGTTATGAATAAAATGTGCATAACTCTTAGTGATATATAATAAATTTTAATTTTATATATTTATACATGGTGTTCATTGTATAACAACCTGTAACGATTTTAAATTATAATTTTTTCTCAGATTATTGCAAGTATCTCTAAAATCATGCAAACGTTTACAATAAACACCCTGTCTCTGCAAGATTAATTATGGAATTTATTGATATTATTAAATGTAATATGTAATTTTTCTTTTCTGGTATATACAAGAATTTAATTGTTTTTTTATTTATTATACTCTTTATGATACTACGACAAAACACAATGCTAAGACTAAATTTATTATAAAAGTCGTAATGTCAAGGTCGTACTATCAAGGTTTTAAAAAAATGTTCGACAAAAGTGAAAGCCATTTCTATTCATTCCATTGTACAAAATACCGAACCATAGCTAAAAGACTTGCCATTTACATTAAAAAATACGTTAAAAACTACGAAAATACATGTACCTACTGTAAAAAAGAAAGTCATATATGATATACTATAATAAAAAAGTCAAATTATCCTTATAGCACATTGTTATGAATTTATTCAAAGTCATAAAGATATAAAAATAACTAATGAGAAAGTGTCAAATGTGTGTAATAAATAAGTGACATGCTGCATAAACTCAATAAGATAGATATAAAAAAGTCAATCATCAAATAATAAAATTGCTTTACTAGTTAACACATTGCATTTTTTTCTAAATTTCGCCGGCTTTTTAAATTTCTTTGTAAATCTCGTGTTTCTAAATTCTTGTATCCATCAGTGGGCAAAGGGAAGGAGGAAGACAAAAACGATACCTTTGATTCGACGAAAATAGCAAACCGGTAAAGTTCGGCCCAGCTCTCAGAAACTTCTCCATGCGAGAAGTGCCGACAACAATCACACCCAGAGAGAGTTGGCCCTGAGTTTTCATGAGCACGTGAAGAATTTAAAAAGTACGCGCGCACACAAAATAAAATTAGCTCGTCGGAAAATGGAGAGGATTCATTGAATTTGAGACGGTGCTCGTGACACGGCACGATGCGAAAGCGATGTCGAGAAGTGTTTTTCTTTTTATGTATTAGGCATTATGGATTTAACGATTTCGCGCGGAATAAAATCTTGCGTTGCGAAAGGCTTGACCCGCGTGACATAAGTTTATTATGCGTCTATCGTGAATCGGTGAAAAAATTTGTTTGGCACACCTGGCCTTTCAAAGACTCTCGCTGTGCGCGCTAAGGGGTGTTTATAATGTTCGTGGATAAAAAAGGAATTTTTTCCGTTTTCTAGTGTGCGAACACTCGATTGGGATCAAACCCTCTAATTTTGGTTGTAATAGCTCGTCTTTATTGCTACTGGAGGGTGGACCCTTGCCGAAGAATTTAAGGAAACTCACAGGAAGTTATAGAAGGGTCTCTCTCGCAGCGTGTTTTAGATAAATGGATGTCGGTTGTGTTTTCTTTTTTCGACATTTTTAAGAGTCGACATCGCTGTAACGGTATAAACGGAGTGGTACATTTCAACCACTGGAAATGTTGTCGTTCGTTTTATTCTATTGAATGGATTGTGTTTAGAGTACTTATATCCGAAATAAAGAAAAAAAAATATATATATATACATATACATAGATGTATAGTAATTATAAATATATTAATGTACATATCTATATATTTTTTAATATTTTCTAAATACACACACACATTTATACATAAATATATATACACTTCGGTTATAAAGCATATTTATTATGCTAAAATTAATTAATTCCGTTAATTTTGAAATATCAATCTAATAAAATTTTTAAGAAATCATTTGAGACTCTAATACTATTTATTCTAAAATATCACTTGTGAATGATGGATCAGGTAGATCGCATGCTCACCTGTACCGGTGACGAATCAGCGGCGAAGATCAACCCTTCCTCGAAATGCACATTACCAAACAGGTACCTATCTATTTCCATACAGGCTCACTCGTTCTATTGAATATGGAGAAGGGGAAACTCGGCACCTGTCATCGGTAGCCATGCAAATACTTGCACGCGATGAATAAAAAAAGAGGGTTCTCCTATAGCGAGGGGAAAGGGTTCTCGCCACTTTATTCAGATTAAGAGCCCGCCTGTGGCATTTAAATGCGACCCTTCGGTAGCGCCACTTGATCCTTTTGATTTTACACGGCAAGTGTATTTTCACCCTTCAACGCTAGACGGAACTCCGCCCAGGGAGCGATCTTACATACTGTTCTGGAACGGATGGCATGGTTCTACTTTTCTCTCCTCTCCTTCCCTTCTCGTCACGATGATTTGATAATTCGTATTAACGATGAAAGACTATCGACATCGCGAGATAGATATGTTGGCACGACATTACGGACATTTCTCGAGGATGATTCTCCTTTTCCTCCTTCTCTTCCTTGAAGTGATTCTCGCGAGTTTACGTCGACGAAAAGAGAAGAATATCGTGAAAACGCGGTCTAAACTTTTGACACTTTAGGCCAAATATCATCAATTATAATTCCAAAACATTTTGAGATATTACGTATTCATAAATCTCTTTCTATCGAAGGACTTTCTTTTTTCTGCGCGCATTTATAATATATCTGGCTATTACAATCAGAGCGCGTACATATTATTCGCGCCTCTCTCGTGACTTCGTGTCGGTAGGGGCGTCATTAAAATCAATACCGGCTCGCTCTTTCCTCTCCGCTTCCTTCTCTTTTCTTTCCCTCGCTATCTCCGTCCTCGTTCTCATATCATATCCATCCTCGTCGCGCCATGGGCGCGAGGGTGGCGGAACCGAGGTAGGGATTGCCCCTTCCTATGTATCCGGTCTGGCATGCGAGGCGAAGGACGAAGGAAATGTTAGTGGGGAGCAGGACGAAGGAACGAGAAAGTCGGCGAGAGAGAACAAGCACGAGGAAGACGAAACCTTGATGGGGTTGTAAGGGTGAGCGAGGGGGTAAGGATGGCACGATAAGAGGAAGGCTGCGTTTGTGATGTGAGGTACGCGGTACACGCGATAAGGAGTGGGGGATAGCGTTCCCATGGCCAATAAGAACCTCTTTAAAGCGCCCTTTTTGCGCACGGGACTGCGCATGCCGGATTCAAATCTGGGCGAGCTAGGTATCGAGTGGAAAAGTAGGGGTGGAAGCGAAGGCGACGATGGTGGTGGCGGAGACGGCGGTGGTAGTGGTGGTGATAGCGCGTTGGTCGTGGTGGTGGACGTCGGCTGTATGGAAATATGATAGCGCGATAAGAAAAAGAAGAAAGGCACTCTGACGCCTATGTGTGTGCAACGCGAAGGGGGATAGGCATGAGTGGGGAGAGCGCTACGGTTCTCGCGACCAATAAAAGGGCTAGTTTAAAGCGTCTTATTTTTTTGCACCGACACTGCGCATGCTGAATTCAAATCTTGGGAGTGGTGAGGCTGGATGGATTTGTATGGAAATATGATAGGTGAGAGGTGCACGGGTTCGGAGGCATGGCGGCCGATAGGAGGGTTTATGGACGTTCGACCACCCTCGTCGATATTTTCTCGATACATTTTTATATCGCATCTATAACGTTGCTATCGGTACTTTGAGCAACTAGAAAAATGCCTTGAATCTATGAAAAATTAATATTCTACTAATTTATGACAAAATGTAATAAATATAAACATTAAATGCATGCACACACGCATATATAAAAAATACAATGCACTATTTCAAATATAAATAATTTTAAATTAATTTATATTAATATGCAATTAACGTGTTTTTAACATTTGATTAATATGTCTCACCATGTACATAATAATTGTATAATTATATTATATATTTTTTGAAGAATATATTATATTATTATATTATATTTAATTCGAATAAAAATAATAGAAAATAATAAATTATGTCTCATTAGGCTGTCACACACATCTTTACTTGTTCTTAAATCTCCCAACAAGGGAAGCAACAATAAATACTTTGTATTACAACATACGATTTGTAATGAATTAATTGAGTACAATGCCTTGTATTTCTGTTAGCAGGAACATAGGTCAGCACAATAATCACATTGTTTGGCAGATCGCCCTCTCGAACGATCTCAACCTGTAACTGTACCCACCTGCTGCCATATCTCGTCGAACCGTAACACAAGCTCTCAATCCCCAGGTAGGTATATCAATCTTAGAAATCTCTAGAGAAGAAATCGCAATGCATTTATCATGATCTCATGATGAACGACGTGACATACATTTTTAATATCTTTTTAAATAATGATTAGAAAAGTTATAATTGATACTTTTTCATTTAAAATTTTAAAAATGTGCAACATAATATATATCCAGAGATATGAGAGAGAGAGAGAGAAATTTTACGAAATTAATCTTCTGTTCATTTATAGTAGAACGAAAAAAATAATAGATTGATTAAAAAATATTGATTCTGAGGTATTGAAAAGCACTTTGAAATATATATGTATTATTTCATGATCGAAGTCGAAATATGCAAATGCCCTATAATTTCCGACCAATTTCGGTAGTCGATTATGTGGCCATAATGACAAAGATTTGCGTGGGTGGTCCAGCGTGAGAGAATTCCTACGCCATTCCTCTCTAACTAATTTCATCTTCATCTCTTTCTTATGTCTACACTAACCGCGTTATCTTACATTATCTGATAGTTGTACAATGTGTGCGTCCACGTGATATGTCAAAATATTTAAATAAATACAGCGCGCACACATGATTTCATGCATTTTCCCATCAGACTATTCAACGCATTTCGATTATCCTGTAGATAGTGAACTCTTATCGATTTCTGTTTCAGAAGCAATGGGGCTCCTCGATAATTCGAAGCTGACGTTGGTCACATCCGCATGAAAGAAAACATGCGAAGACAAGTATGCGAATCGAACCGGTTCGACGCACCTCGCAGCGGATTGGACGGTTGCGGAATCAAGCCAAGTTTAATTCTTAAGCATCGGTCACGGAACGGGTCCTTAAGTATCAAGGTCTAATCGTCGTCATTTTCGCAGAGTGGGGAAGGTAGCGCGTCGATTGGAGGCGAGCGTTGCATATGCAAATCTGTTTGCCCGCTCTCTCGTTTTCTCCTTCTCCCCTTTGACTTCGCCGACAGCAGCCGGCCGAGATGCACGCGAGATGAAAAAGGCGCGCTCTCGCTCGCGCGAGTTCCGGCGACCGGAGAACTCGCCTTTGCCTCCGCCGGGCGGAGCCGCGTTTCCCTGCGATTGGAGGCGTCGTTCCCCACCGACGCGTCGACTGCTCCCCACTTGCGACAATCGTGCAGGCTCTGTGTCGGTGCCCGTACCGCCAAGCTTCTGGCATCACGCGCGCGACTCTCCTTGTCCCGTTTACGCCGCTTCGCCGTGGACGCGTCGATGCTTTCTCCTTGTCTCGCTCTAGCGCGGCCTTTCCTCTTCCTTGCCGGAGACCTAACGACTCCCCCACCTCGGCTTACACCGATCCGTGGACGCGGCCGCGCTCGCCGTGGCCGGTAGGCGGCCAGGCGGGAGTACGTGAGTTCTCTAGTGTAGCTGCACACATGCACGCGACAGCATCTGACCGCCGTGCCACCAGCCGCCGCCGTCGCCGCTGTCGCCGTCGTAACTATCAGAACCGTCGTATAATCTCTCGCTCGAGTGTGCCACGCTACGCGAGTAACAGATCAACGTCGGACAGATCGATCCGACTCGTTCGTTGACAGTAATCGCAACCGTGTATTTCCAAAACCGGCGCCGCTATCTCGTGCTGTGTCGTTGGCGAATCGACGCTGATCATAACACATGATGCGACTACCCGACAAGAAAGACAGGACGATGCAAAGTGGTGAATCGGTGTAGTGACCTGGCTCGGAATCGCGATTATTGATATTGGCGAGATAGTGTTCGTTGATGATTTCAACGGCGAGCATTCTTATGTTCGGCGTTTCGATGACAGTTGCGAATGACACTAGCGTGAAGACTTGTACGAGTGTTTGCAGCGAGTGCACATCGTCGTGCAAAGGCAGCTTGAAGCAGAACGATTGACAGTGTTGACTACAGCGCCAGTGTTTCGTGTGCTTCACGGCTGATGGTTATCTGACAGAAACGGTTTTAAGATCAAGAAACAGAGATCGCAATGATGCGTTTGTGATAAAGGTGAAGATTGTTCTTACGCAAATAACAACGACGGTCAGGTGTTTTACGCAGAGGTGGACGAGTCGTGTATTGAATAATTGAAAACTGGAGTACGCGTACCACTATACGATTGTGTACGATTGTGACTGTGAGACTCAATGGGTGCAGTGCGTTTTTAGCAGTACTATGTGTCATCAAGAAACCGAAGACATTGACTAGATTTCGTGAGAGAATCATGTTGACGCAATAAATACTACAAGGTGTGGTTCCAGTGTTGGAATTATTAGGAACCTGATACAGCATCTCCGATTGAGATATCTTGAAGCGTTCTACGAACGATGATAGTCGACGCGGACCATTAAGTTATCAGCGTACGACCTTTCGTTGCGTGGACCGGTGCGATTCTTCATCTACAGCGAAATCCAGCAGGTCACCACGTTGGATCTCGCGGCGTTGGCTGCCTACGGGGCCATTTCGGGACCCAAGATCGCGGTGGCGGGCACCGGGGTCCTCGCGCTGCCCGGCTTGATACCCGACAAGGGTCTATCATCGCCCGGAGGCCAGTCGAAGCCAAAGTCCGCAGGGCTGGCGGGTCTTGACAGCGAGGCGGTGCGCCGGTGGGTCGCGGAGGCCACGCGGACCGTCCGGCAGGTTCCGCCTTCGATGGCTGTTCCTGCCAGTTCTCCGCAACAACAACAGCAACATCATCGTCAACCGCAGCATCATCAGCAGCATCATCATTCCACCCACAGGCAGCATCAGGAGGCTAGCCCACCGTCGGTGGGAATCTCTCCCTTCGTTTTGCCGGCCTCGATGACGCAGACCCCCAGTATGCATCTGCTGGAGAATAACAACCTGGTCGAGGTCGCTATGGCCCAGCAGCAGCAACAGCAGCAGTCACAGCAACAGTTGATACAGAAGCAGAAGCAAACAAGTCCCACTAACAATAACACCATAGAGGCTTGGAGATCGATTCAAGGCGGGCATCAATGGTGGAGTTCGCCCGCTAGCGTTCATCAAGAACAGCAGCAACAACCGTCGATCGCCCAGGTTTCTCAATCGCCGAGTCTGGTGGTCGGATCGGTGTGTGGCCAGATGCAGAGGCCGCAAGTGCAATCAGAGATCGATCAGCCACTCGATTTCTCCGTTGGCTCCCTACAGCAGCAGAGGCTGCATTCGCGCGTGAGGACTATGCACGAGAGACATCAGGGTAGGATGCATGACAACAACAACGGTACGGTAAGCAGCCAGAAGATCACCAGAGGAGACATTAGTAGACGAAGCTACAGTCCCAGTGAAGCCAGCACCAGTAGCAGCGAAGATGAAGGTGTCTCTACCGGTGGCAGCCCTTCGGGACCTCTTCGGGGTGCTTCGGGTGAGTGTTAATCGAATCACACAAAATTTATTAAAATATGGAATATATTCAGAGTCACGATGATTCGTTAATGTTATTATGAAGCTTAAGAGGAAGAGAATAAGAAGGGAGGGGAGAGAATTGCTCGATTTTATATATTTATTAATATTGAATTTATAAAATATTTCTGTGAGCCACATAATTAATTTTCACAATTAACGTAGATTCGAAAATTTTTACAACGCAATATAAATATTGTTAAATTTAAATTAAATGAATCCGAATGTCGTTGTTTTAATTCAAGTACATGTAGATTAGATCTCATTATCATTTATCTCGAGTCATTTCGTTATTAAAAGCAGTACGCACGATATGTAGATACGGTGACGAATATAAGCAAATATCTGCCTTTATCGCAGTTTCTCGTCTCGCTCAATAAACGGAAAATATAGCGCGACAGGTAAACAATTTCCCATTATCGGCGTTGAATTGCGTTAAACAATTAGAATTATCTGATTAAATATAGAGTGAAATGCATATATAAGCAGTGCTTGAAGCAACGGGCAGAAATCGAGCATTTTGTGGAAAACGTTACGTTCGTCAGCTGTCAGTGCAGTCTGTCTCCTCCCTTCTTCCTCCGTCCCCTGCTCTTGACGCCCCCGCACTGCATTGTTACTTTCCGTGGATGCATTGTGCATCAAGGCATTGTATGGATCGTGCGACCCCCAATCGCGAGAAAACCGATTTATCTGAAACGGCCGGATTTTGCATTCACGCATCTCGTTCATGCTATTCTGTGCGCAGAACGTGTGCCAATTGTGAATTTGGGACGAATTTACGTTTAGGGTAAATTTATTTTAAAAGAAAGAGAGAGAGAGAGAGAGAGAGCCGATATTCTCTCATATATTTCGCGTATAAGGCTAGATATTGTTTTCAATATTGCTGTATATAATTTTCAATATGATACATTTACACGAGATATTCAATATTATTTATTGCCATCTCGAAAGTAAAAAACAATAATTATATATATATAATCATTTTGTCATAAAAATTGACGGAGAAAGAATGTCAAAGAAATATAGTCAAAGAAATACGGGCACTTTTATGATCACGTTTACATTATCATTACATATATTCTTATATTGATATTATTATTATAGCATATTATCACTCGTATTCCAATAAAAAAAAAAAAATTATTAGGAAATATTTATTAGAACAGATAATCACGATGATAAAAGAGAGAAAAAATATTGATTAAGATGGATCGGCGTTCAGATCCGCCAAGAGAACGTAATATAATTTTTATATAAACTGTCTCTATTAATTGCGATATGCGACGCGATAAATTGAAAATTAATAACGTGGATGATATTGTTAATGTACGTTGATCAGCTGCGATAAGCATTAGATCCGAGAAATAGGCAGAAAAATTGTCAACCATTTGATACTATCGATAAAAATACGGTATCGCTTTAGTTGATCCGATATTGTTGATCTATGGCAATTACGCGACATCTATGTATTTCTTGTATTCAAGTATCTGTTATCGAGTATTATCCGCATGATAAGTTCTTCTTCTACATATATAGCTGCACTAATATTACAAAAAAAAAATAAATAAAAGTGCAAATACGCATGCGCTGCGTATGCGAACGGGAAGGAAAAAAGCCTTATCGTATCTGTCGATAACGTCTCAGCTCTAATATTTGTTTGAATAAATATTCCACGTAGACTCGCGTGATTGCATGGTTATTTTCGGCGTACGCTGGAATCGTGACGAAAAATCACGCCCATCGTCAACAAAATACCCGTCTCGTCTCGCGAGTGATCATTGCATCGTAAGATATCAGCAATTATGCACTTAAAAATGATTGGAAATCGAAAAAAGTTAATAAAAGAGCTGTGGCGCGTGTCAGCAATATATGAGAATTTATATCTGACACAAAAGAGGAGGAACTTATGTATATTCCAAAAAAATTAACATTTAATATGTTTCACGGATATATAAATTATCTTGATTATATCTACTCCCTTTTTTTATGATATTCATAATCAACGATGATGATTCCACCTCTCGTCCTTGATGAAAATGCGCATAAGGCGTAGAGTACGGGCAGTTTCAGATATCCGTTTCACGGGGTCCAAGGACCTGTTCCTTGCTCGAGCACGGGTGTATTACGATGTAACCCGATACGATGTTTGATTCTATATTATTTACGAGCAGGTGGATCGGCGCGCAACAATGTTTATCGGCGTAATTAGATTCTATACCTGCGCAATCTTTATCACACGTCGATGAGTCGAGCCGCGGCGAAAATCATGCTTTCAGAGATACACGGCTGTACGATAATAATAGTTTTCTCGAACGCGAGCTATACATTGATTTCTTATTCTTTGCACGCCTTCTTTTCCGCCTATTCATTTACGATCGAAAAATTATTGTAAGCTAATTCGCATATTCGACTGTTTTTTCAAATATTTGCACATAAAAAAATAATTTAATATTCTCTATATGTATTTAAATATGTGTTGTTATAAAAAAAGAATTAGATTATTTTAGATGAGATTTCTACAATTAAAATATTTATGAGACATGAATATTAAAACGAAATAAATTAAAATTATTTTTAATTATTCTATCGCGATAGAGATCGATATTAATAAAGCTTGCTTCTCTTATTCTGTTAATATTATTACAACATATATTTGAAATAATTATGTATTATTATTAAGTAATTTAAAATGTTTTGTGGGGAATATCTTTACGCGATTAACCATTCGCGCGCGTTTCCGCTTATTTGTGCTTAATTTAACTGAAGGTACACACGCGAATCCCTTTGATGTAGAGCCGTTAGCGTTAGAATCATCCTTATTGGGATCATCTTTTTCATCACGATCGCTTCCATTAACTATCGTCAGGAGCCGTCCCCGAGTTCCTTCCTTCATTAGCGTTTTCTGTGATCCGTCCGAGCGCGAGCTCGAGTCCCGTCGGATCACTCGCGTGCGGAAAATTAGACGGCCTTCCGATTCGTGAGAGTACTCACGGGGTACACGCCGCGATCCCTCTCGCGTTTCTCGCTTCAGTGATCTTCGAGCTTCGAATGTGTCGATGGAAATTCCGCGAAGTCCATTCTCGTCTGGGAGACCCGAGCTTTCGAAGGATCTCGCTATTTAAGTAGCCATTTTCTTCCCGAGGCGCCTGAGAGCCTCTTATCTTTCATTGTCTATGCTCCCTTATCTCCCGAGATCATGCTTTGTAAAGATTGCGGAAATTTCCGAAATAATACGCGAATATTAATGTGAAAAATTTCGAAAATTCAATCCGTTCTTATACACAAGTGTCATTCTGACATTAATTTCCTATGCAGGTATCAATATCGTCAAAGGACATTTGATTATCAATATTGAAACATATGTTTCTGACAGTTACGATCATAACTCGGTATTATTAATTAATCCTATTGTGATTTTAATGAGATATTAATTAATTACTTTATTATAAATAATTATATTATTTACAATTAACTGTATAATATCAGGGTGGGTATCGATAAAAAAATGCATATCGATATACATAGCTGGTGCATCGGTGATGCGTTTCGTCGCGATTCGCGCGGCGTCGGTAGATTATTCGTCGATGACGGATAAGATCGCATTTATTGACTCGCGCCGGATTAATCGCGCGTCCGAATAATATATTTATCTTTTTATATATACGGACCGACCCGAGTCTCCGTGTGGCCGAGACGTACGAGTGAAACGGCCTTTATCGATCGACGATCTCTCGCTCGCGTCACTCGAGAAACGAAGGCTTGGCTCGAAGATAAAAAGCCGGCGCGCTAAAGAAGCGGCCGGAAGCGCGTTACCTCGCACGGCTAATACGCACAATGACTATGAATACATAATGACGCGCTATCAAATAGGATTTGTTCATCGGATGACGCGATCGATGAAAAAGTAGCGTATATTATAAAAAAAAAAAATTAATATTTCCAACAAAGATATCTTATAAACTTGAGGCTATTATATCTCTTTTGCCTTTCCATCAGTTTTTTAGAAATTAAAATAATTTAATACGGTAAAATATGTTTTGCAATACGTTTATGCAAATAAAAGTGTAATAACTTTTTATCTATACATAAATCGGTAATGAATTTGATGTCTTTTTTTTTTTTAATAGAATCTTAAAATATCACAGTGATTTTTGAATTTTTTAAAGATATTGTATATATGTATATAAAATCTTGCGACGTGTTATATAAATAGACATAAGTAGTCCACCGACGTGAATTTGTAAATAATTATCCAGAACTATATCCTCTATCATATTGTTTAATCGTAAACCGGATTTCTAAGAAACATGAAGTAACGGCGGATATGACTGATCATATCGAAAAGTATTCGCGTCGCTTGAATTTCTGTCGCAATAGATATCCCGAGAATTTATACGCAACGAGTTTAATTAATCTATACACAGGAATATAGCCGCGCGGATGGCAAGGTACGCGGCAATTGATTGTAAATAATTGCAAAGTAAAACCACACGCACAATCGTGCAGTTAAAGTTGGAATATTTTCTCTCTAATTTAAAAATTCGATGTATAAAATCACCGCCCTCTCATTAAGACTGTCTAGAACAGTTACCGATGTGCGTGCGTACACGATCGCCACGGTTGAATATGTGATGATACGATTTTAATGAAAAAGCCGCTATTCCTCGGAGAAGCCGGAAGCAGCCGAACCGCTTGCGTTGCGTCACCGGCAGCACGGTATAATGCCTCCTTATTTGCATTGTATCCGCCGGGTTTCCGATTATACCTTGCGCGCGGCCCTCGAATTAAGGCCCCGGCCGTAACCTGCCCGAAACGCTTCGGGCTAGCACACCGAATCCCGATTATTACGTTGGGACGTAATACACTTGCGACGCGCCTTCCGAGGACGATCGCCGACACGTGACTCGTTGGAGGAGCCGACATTTGAGAAGATCCCTGGAAAAGTAACGTCGCGGTTCTTAA